CTATTCGTAACACACTTGTTGACAACACTAATATAATAACATCATCAACATGCAAAATAGTCTAAATATAATGGAAGCCTTATTAATAAAAACAAAAAAACCAACACTTAATAATATTAACTTTGAACATGGACACTATATCTTGACCGTGTTTTGAAAAAATGAAAACATTTTATAAAACATACATACGACAAACTATTTCTTATTTAACAGTTAGAATATTTAATCCTTGAAAATGGCTAAATGTATAGCTGAAAGTGCTTAGATAAAAAGAACATTCAGACAGTTTTTATATAATTTATCAACTGAAAAGAAAAAATTAGTGATCACATGAGAAAGTGTATAAAAAACTAAATAAAAGCACCTTGTCTGTCGTATTCAATGAAATGTGCATGAAAGAAGGATTGCTGCCTATATATATATATATATACACTTAATAGCTATATTGTATCACATTGAGCACAGTTTTATTAACACAGCACTATATGTGTGATATATTATAACTCTCTCTTTCTCTCTCTCTCTATATATATATGGATAGCATATATTTTGGCAGCATGTTTAGACAGGCTTTGTCAACTTATTTTTTAATAGGATCCATTGTGCTAATGTCAAAAGTACTCAGAAATAAAATGGATATACATCAACATGGTAATTTTCTTTCTTCCTTTAATAAAGATACTAAGAAACTCATCCATAAATCTTAGCAGATCCTATTAAGAATAAGTAGAGAAAACTTGTCTAAATTGCTTAATGAGACATGTATGTATATATATATATATATATATATATATTACTAAATACTGTTTGTTGATATATAAAATTATATACACAATTATATATATATATATATATATATATATATATATATATATATATATATATGGTTGCTCATACAAGAGAAAAGTATTTAAAAGAAGATAAACTGCAAACGTTTTTGGTTGAAATGTGTTTTTCTTTTATTTTAAAATATATTTTATATCTTATTTTATAAGAGAGTATAATATATGTTTTAAAATAAAAAATCCACATTTCAACCAAAAACGATTGCCATTTATCTTCTTTTTAATATATATCTCGTGAGAGAGAGAGAGAGAAAGATAGATAGTTAAAGAAAACTTCAAAAGAGTCAAAATGTTAATGATTTGCTATATATATATATATATATACACACACACACGCGCGCGCATCTAAGCATATACTGGTGTAAATTATTTAAAATACTTCAAAAAATAAGTTTCATATCAAAGTTGTTTATCAGATATATAAAACTGAATGCCACCCACTTCATGATACTTTCATAGAAATAATTCATGCAAAGAAGATAAGAATATTTATCAAATATACATATACAGTTGAATAAAATTGAAATTCTAATTTTGAAGTAACAATAATGTAAAAACATAATATCATGTAAAATTGTAAAACATCTATTAAATAAAAATGGGCATCGTATAAAGCATAAATAAAAATAAAGAAATAAAAATTGGACAAATAATACAGGCTATGATACCTCCCATATATACCTCCCAAAAATACCCCCCACATAATGGTAAAACATTTGTGGCAACAGTGTCTTCATCTAGCTAAAGTTTTACCATTATGTGAGAGGTATTTCTGCCACATCATGTATAAATGTTAAGGGATAGAATTTTTATTTTAATCTAAAAAATCTCCAAGACAAATGAAATTTTCAAGAGAGTCATTGGACATCTTAAAAAGTGATAATGATTCCTAACATTTCTATCAATAGATCACTATTATATTATTCAATTTATCTTGCCTTTCTATTATCAAACCTTGAATAAACTTCTCAAATTATTTTAGTCTCTTACTGGTATAAAAGAAAATCAAATACTTCTATCATCACTTAAAATTAATCATGAACTCATCAATGCAAATATATATAAGTTCTTCAATGGAGGAAGAAAATTCTATTTATAGCCATGTATGCAAATATTAATGTGTGAATCAGGGCTGATGCGGAGTGGGGCAACCATGAGAGGGGTCCCTGGGCAGTGCTTTTATCTTATCAATATTTGCTTTTTTCTACCTACATTTATATACATTACAAATTAATCTAAGCACTACTGATTATTAAAGGATGAAAAATTTTCACAGATTTTGACATCATTCTGGGGGTCCTTTTTTTTTTTTGTTCAAATCCATGAATTTGTTTTGCTCATGCTAAATCTAAAAAAAAAAAAAAACTATATAAAATTCACTTTTTTTTTATCTATAATGTTGATGTGTTAAAATTATTCAACTTATTAACAAGAAAAAACTCAAGTTGATGATAAAAATTGCTGCAAAACATTTTTGTTTTATTCAAGATGGAATGATCTATTATGAGATGTCTCTAATTTGTATTTAGATACATTGTATTTATTTTCAATTTTTCTAGTTGAATTGTTCACCTATATTACATATGATCCATTATTGTACATAATTAGGTTACAATAAAATTTGTATTTTATATGAATAATAACTTATGAAAATTGAGACCATATAGTGAGCGGGCTCCATATCAGATTTGGTGGGGTGTGTTATAGATTGGTAGAGAGCACAAGACTCTTGCACCAGCCCTGGTATGAATTCATTACTAATCAAGAAATTACTATAAGAAGTACATAAACACATCTTACAAATAATACATATTTGCTTAGCTTGGTGGCAAGATATCAAAAACTAATTCTCAGTCATATTTTCAGCAAATATATACTTAATTAACATAAAAAGAATTTAGCAGTTTTTTTTAACTTGTGAAAAATTAAGAGTTTAAATTTAAAATTTAATGTAAAAAAAAAAAAGAAAAATTGAACAGTTTTAGTAAAAACTCACTGATTTGTAGGCACCTATGGAAATTGTTACGTATTTGTTGAAACTTTTCTCCTTTCAAGTTTAATCCTAAGTGCCTTTTATTTTTCATCGAAGCGCACATGAGCAGAGTGTAATTTACTCCCGAAAATCAGTTTTTGGCACAACTCCAACGTCAGATCGAAACATTTTCTAAGTAGCGATACACTGCAGCAGCTTCTGGGAAAGGAACAATGCCGTCTGAAATTGGATACAGAACAGTTGGTAGGTGAAAGTTTGTGGATTCGGTAACAACAGCACAAAGAGAAATAGGTAAATTTCAAAAGAAAAATGCAAATTCAGATTTTGATTCAGTTTTTAAAAACATTCTCTTTTTTTGTTTTTTTTTTAAACCTAAACAGTTTTTTTTTTTGGATTTTGTTCTTTCTAAAATTTCTGTTTTATACAATGCTAAATCAATTTCAATGTCACTTCTAAATACAAATAACAGACTCTAAACTAAATGCTTGTTCATCAATACTAAGAGAATATTTATTGTGTTTGTAGTATTCGGATATGTAAATATACATGTACTTGGGAAATAAAAGTAATTCTCACTATTACAGTGCATTTCTTGCCTTATTTAATTGTAATATACAGAAAATATTTGTGAATATAAAAGGATTATGATAAAATAAGCAGACATAATGTTTGTAATTTATTCAATCAGACATACCTAAAAGAGAATTTGCTGCCTAAATACACAAATATACATTTGTATGAGTCAGCTTATTGGGTAACGTAGTCATGTTAATGTCCAATACTTTCTCTACAGGTGGTTTTAGTTCAAGAAGTAACTTATGAAAGAAATAAAAATGAAAACATTATTTTTCTTAGTTTCTATTTCCTTAGGTGAAAAATGCTTATTTTAATAGTTTCATGCAACTTTAGCAGCTTGTGAAGAAAAACATTTTTCAAACAATTATTACTATGATTATTTTAGCATAAATTTTTTGCAATCTTTAATCCTCATATATGCAAAAACAAAAGCAAAAAACAGTGTGTCAAGAGGACAGTTTTACGCTTGACACTGCTATTATTTTAAATACTTTCACTACTTGGCAATGTTTATTGTTTTAAAAAGCAATGATAAGAGTTTTAATAAAACCTAAACAAATGAAACTGAATTTATACATTTTCTTCCATCTTGAGAATTTACAACAAAAAAAAAAAAAAAGTGCTATTTATTTATTAGATTTTTTTGTTTTGAATGGTTGGCAAAACATCAGCTAATTGCCAATCGATTTGAACTTAATAAAATGGTAGATAATAAAGATTTTATTATAGTTGGTTCACATATCTTAATAATTTAGTAAATGTTTATAAATTTACGAATTAGAAATTGTTTTCATATCAATTTCTCAATAAATATTGCATTGCATTAATTTTAATACAATTGTATTAGTTTTTAGAATGTTGTAAATATAAAATTATTCTTGTAAATAAACAATCTAATAAATAATGTTTAATATTTTTGTTGTAAATTCTCAACAATAAAAAATGTATAAATTCACTTTCATTATATGTTTAGGTTCTATTATAATTCTAATCATCACTTTTTAAAATAATAAACATGGCTGATGAGTAAAGGTAAGTAAAATAATAGTGGCATCAAAGGAAAAACCATCATTTTGACATACCATTTTTGTTTGGGCACAAAGGTTAAACATTGCTGATTTTTCTTGCCATGTTGATATACTCTTTCTGAAATTAAATATGAAATACAACAAACCAGAATGTAAGTAGTTTCTTCCCTAATCAATGTCTAAATAATTTTATTATCTACTTAAATTCAATAAACCACTGTCAGAATAAGCAGTGTGTAGATTTATTTTGAGAAGGTGTTGGGATCAACATCTGATTGTATTTGAGAGTTTTTGCTATAGAATATTAATTGGCATGTTTTTTTTTTTAATTTTAATAACATTAAGTGTGAATATGAAAGAAAAAGGTGTGCAAACAAAACAATTATCTTGTGCAATAAAGAGGTGACATACAATTTATAGGGACTTGCAAGTAACTATTTTTTATTTTCTTTAAGAGAAAAAAACACATAACAAAAAATAAAATTATAGTGTTTAATTTATTTTTTGTAAATTCTCAAGAACAAAGAAAATGTATAAATTCCCTTTCATATGTTTACGTTTTATTAAAATTCTAATCATTACGTTTTAAAGCAATAAACATTGCTAAGGAGTCAAGATAGTTAAAATAATAGCAGTGTCAGAGGCATACTGTCCTTTTAATACATCATTTTTTTGTGGGCACAAAGACTGCCAAATTTTCAATGTATACTGCTACTTTTTCTACATAAACATTTAATTGGGAAGCAATATTTTTTCTCACTTAATAAAGTACTGATTTGTAGTGATAAATTCTCTTACCTGTATATTATTTCATAGGAAATTAAAGTGTTTTTATCAATTTTTATGTAAACCAAGAAAACAGACATTATTTTTATTTAGAGTGAGTATTTGAAAAACAGTTAAAATTAAGAGACTGAAAACATTTTTAATCTTCTTTGTGCAAGTCAGGAGATTTTAAAACTAAACAATTTGATATGTAATTTGAGTTGATGAAGAAATTAGAGCACTTCTCCAACCAAATAAAAAAAAAACCTGTTTTTGGCAACAATTCCCAATTTGTTGTTGCCAAAATTGGTAAATACAAAGATGAAAACTGAAAAGTGGAGCTAAGAACTTAGTATTTTACTTATCCAGTACAAGAATATTTCCACACTTATCATATTTAACAAGAAGGATAAAGCCATGATCAAAATGCTTGCAATTAGGCTTGAACCTAAGATAACATTACTATACTTTTGCTAGTCAAATGCAAGTACTGTTTGTAATAATCAGATCAATGGGATTTTTTCAGTTTATAAAATACTTATACCAGTTCAAATAAGCATACCTAAGATGCACTACATATGAATTCTTATGAATTTTCAACCCAGATATACAGAGGGTAATGGTCAGGTATCAGCTGTGCAGCGACCCCATGACCTGTGCATGGGTTTGATAATGATGATTAATAAACATTGATCCAAATAATTGTGCCATGGAGAAAATTATTAAAAAAAAAGAAGCATCCTGTACCACATATGCACAGTTCCTGGGGGTGGAGCTGAAAATTGAAGGAAATAATTTAATCTTGCCAGAAAATGTATTTGATATGCAAGAACAGTTTGTTTACCATACACACTGTCATGCCAGCTGGTTCAATCTGTCAAAATGTTGTCATTCACAAGGAAAAAATGAACGACGTCTGGTAATAGTTATCTAGGGTATTTTTGCTGACTATTACTACTGAATAATCAGTTTGATCTTCACTGGGTGCTCCATATTTGTAATCTTGTGCCAAACTAAGATAAGCTTAGTAAATAATAAAATGAGCAAAGTAAGAAAAACTATATAAAGGCCAACCTCTTAGCTCTAACATATTTATAGATTTCTCTCCAGTGTCAGAGGTAAGTGTCCAACTCCTGTGTAAGAGCCAGAGAGATAATCCACCTTTTACAACTTGAAAGGTAAGGATAACATGCTCTCCCTGCAACCCCCATTCATTTAATCTTTGCCATGCTCAGCAAAACTTAACATATATCAAAATAATTTAAAATCTACAACTTAATATTGACCTAACAATATACAATATAAAATCCATAACCTAATAATGTGATCAGCATTCTCCTTATATGACAGGGAATACTGAACAATCTCCTCACAGATGAAGAAGAGACCTGAAGCAACAGAAATATAGTTATACAGAAGGATGCTGTGAATACCATGGACCAAATATGTCAAGTTTAGAAAAAATGAAAACAAAAAAGACATTTATAGTTAAAACCAGAAAGAGATAAATTTCTAAGTCATATAATGAGGAAAGAAGGCTTGGAAAATTTGATACTCACAGGAGAGACTAAAGGTAACAAGGAAAACAATGCATAACCTGCCTAGCAAGCTTGAGTAAATGGATGGCAGAACAGTGATTAGGAGATATAACAAAAAGACAAAATTTATTAAGAGCTACAAAGGATATGAAATTGTGGAGAGCCATGATCATCAATGTCCTAAAGGGACACAGCACATAGAATAATAATAAGAAGAATTTGGTTCTATTAATTTAAAGATTATTCTAAATTTTTTTTTAAAGTCTCTAAATTTTATATTACACCAACTGTAACAATTATTTTGAGGAGAAAATAAAGAGTAAGAGGAAAAGCGAAGAAAAACTAAACTTACATGGTGTGTTGAATCCACTGTCGACTGAAGTAAAGGATAAGGCATTCCCCCGAGGAAAGATGTTAAACTGCTACTACTTCAAATGAGTAATTGCATCTATGGGTGAGGTGTGCTTATGCAAGAAATCAAAGGAGACAGTAGTTTCACTGATTGTATTCTTCATGTGTACACATGCACAAGTTAATAAAAATAAGAAAAGAAACATTCACAATCCTATCAACAGTGTTGTGTGCATGATGGTAACTCAAATCACAAACAAAATCAAAACGTTAATTGACAAAATTCTTTATGGTAAAATCTATGATGTAATCGTAACAAAATCTATTTACATTGGTCTAATTCACCAACTAAATATTTTCTCTTAGTTCTCTAGCCCCAAAAAGAAAAAGAAACATTGATTTGGGTTAATTGTTATCTTTAGAAAGAATCGATATCTCGGATACAAACGATTGATTTTAACATTTTGCCAATTTTTCTGACTGAGGTGGTTTCGAAAAGAAAAGCTTTTCAATGATCACTAACAAGAGAAGTAGAATTTTACAAAAATGTCCTTTATCTGAAAAACATCAAAGATTCTGAATTTTTTTTTTTGTACAGCAAATGACAAATCACTGAAAACAAATGTTCACTAGTAAACATTGTATCAAAAATGCTTATGCATATATATTTTTAATGTTATAGAATATGCAGTCTTTGATATGGTTTGTATGTAAAGATTTTTGTAAATAATGTTATTGTTTTTTGTTTTTTTTTTAGTCGAGATAGATTAATAATAACGATCGTTAAACTGTAGACTTTATTTGGAAGTGCTCAGGATGCCAAGTCAAGCCTGAATATACTACTTGCATCTTTTTTTATTTTTTTTATTTTATTTTTTGGGGTTGGGGAGTAGAGTAGGAAAACGTCTGCATTTGTTGCCCCTGTAAAAGAGCTTATCAGTGAATGTCAGAAATGCCACTGTCCATTGTGGAATGGCTTGTGTCAGTCCACTGACTGCAATCAGGAACATAGGCTATATTGGGTCGATTGAATCTCCTGTTGGTGAGAGTTTTCTCACCAGAGAAGAGTAACGGTTCTTGAGAAGATGCCTCACATCTGCTGGAAATTTGGTCTTTGTCTGAAGAATGAGGCTCAATGTAGTCAGAAGAAGAGAGATCTGAAAAAAAAAAAAAGAAGAAAAAAGATTACCCTTTTATAAATATTTGTTTCCTACAACATATAACACGGGCCATTTCACTTAAATATCTATTTTGAATAAATAAATTTGAAAAGTTTCTCCTTAACTTGGCAACAATATGGTGAAAAGTGAATAACTTACTCTGAGCCAATGTCAAATTTTAAGAAAAAGGCTATCAATATCATATATACACGCATAAGTAAAAAAAATTATCCACAGTTTTACTATAACATATCTTTATATAAGAGTGTGGATAATTTTTGACTTTCTCCTGTGTGATATATATATATATATATATATATATATATGTATGTAATGCATGTGCATATGCTTAAAGGTTCACAGCCTGACCAAGAAGCGATTAAAAATATTAATTTTTTATCATTTGTAACAACAGTAGCAGATATTGTGAGTCAATTGTAACTTTCTATTGCATGTATTTTTTTTATCATTATATTAGTTATTCATGTGCCTGCACACACACAAACACACACTTTTCAGCACCTCTTCATACACATACATGTGTGTGTGTATTGTTACCTAGATAATAGATAGACACATTGAAATGATCAAACAAATTTTTTTTCATTCCTTCTTGGTCAGGCCGAGAACATTTCAGCACATACCCACAAACTATATATATATACATACACACATTAACCACACTAATTGAGGGATTCCTATATATTCCTATATATATATATATATATATATATACAGGAATCCCTCAATTAATGTGGTAAATTGCCACACTAATTGAGGGATTCCTATATACTATATATATATATATATATATATATATATATATATATAGGAATCCCTCAATTAGTGTGGCTAATGTATACATATGGCTGATGTGTACAGCCATAACTATAAAAATCAATTTTTAATTATTATGGTTAAACTGAAGAATGTTTTACAGCACTAATCAAGTATTATGTATGCACTAATCGAATTTTGGTATATAAACATTTTAGCGCACTAATCAAAAGCGCATTAATCAAATGCATATTATATATATATAAAAATGTTGATGCGACCAACAGATTACCAAAAGACTTAAAACGTTAGACAAAAAAATCCCAAACTTAGAAAGAATAAAAGGACCCAAATACAAACATCACTTACAGAGTAAATTAAAGTGTTCAATTTCTATGATATCTGAACAGAACAAAAGATTCTTAACAATGTCAACCCTCAACTTCAAACGTTATTTTTAGCGGATTCAATTGAATATCTATTTTGGATAAATTAACTTGAAAAGATTCTCCTTAACTTGGCAACAATATAGTGAAAATTAAATGACTTAGTCTCTGAGCCAATGAAAAATTTCATGCCAAATTTTAGGAAAAGGCTCTATATATATATATATATATATATATATATATATATATATATATATATATACACACACACACACACACCGGGAGTAACAGCAAAATTGTCCACATCATGTAAAAGCAAAATTGTCCATTTGATAGATTAAACTCTGAACTGTTGTATCTTAGAAATGATTAATATCTTACTGAAATTCTCCAAGGTTTGTATAACATTATTGGACTTTACTTTGAGCAATAAGAATGTATAATTACTCTTTAAGCTTAACACAAGAATCGTGATGAAATCTATCATAAATGAAAATGACATGTTCATCATTCATTAATCATAGCTAAGGATTGGAAGTTCATGAAGGTTTGATATAAAGTTCAAATATATATATATATATATATATATATATATATATATTATTCCAGGATCATTTTACAACTTATTCAAGATAATCTTTGTCCTCTCTAACATTCTAACTTTCTGTCCTGGAGTAACAAGGTGCTTCCCATGTTTCACATACAATTTCATTTTCAAGTCATTTTTTCACTGCTCTTTGGACAGTCATAGCACATCTCTACTGTGCCAAACACCTTATGGATTGAGTTGGATCTTTTCTAATTGATCTCTTTAGCTCTAAGTTGAAATGATGATCTCTCTTCCTGTTGTGACCTCATGATCCAGGTTTCCTCTTTTTTAAAATTATTCACCATTCTCTTGATGGTTCTTGAATGGACTTTGAAGATGGAAGACAGAGTATGAATGTTGTATCATTACTGATGCCCTGAATGATCTTTTTTCTCTCACCATTGCTCATTTGGGAAGATATGAAACAAAACAATTTTAACCTGTTCTCTTTCTAGATGAATAACTCAAGGTTTTTTTCAATGATTCTTATGACAAATGTTGTCAAGATGGCTAAACGTCTTATCTGAAAACATGGAAAAAAGAAACTCAGTTTAATGTTTTATTTTTTTAAGATATTAAACATTTTGTAGGATGGACAATTATGCTGTTACATGATTTGGACAATTTTTCTGTTACACTCAGTATATATGTGAGTATGTTTGATTGAATAATATAGATATATTATTTTTATTTTAATCCTCTTAAAATCATGGATCAATTTCTTAGTGTTGTCATTAAACTCATTAAGAAAGATGAGATTAATGGCAACACTAAGAAATTGATCCATAAATTTGAGAGGATTAAAATAAAAAGACATAATCTTTCTAGATTATTCAACCAAACATGCTTGAATGAAAATATGCTAAGCTATATATATATATATATATATATATATTTACATATACAAGTTTCTTTAAAAAAAAACTGACAAGATACTGCGGTTAAGTTTTTTATTTATTTTTTCTTGCATTCTTATAATTTTCTTTTCTGGACATAAATGATGTAGAAATTGTCCAAATGTTCTGTGTCGGAGATCTTTCAGTTATAATTTTAGCCATTATTAAGGATGATTTTTTATGGATTTTTTAATGTATGTATCTAGAGTTATAGGAATGTTTTATTTTCCAAATGCATGGACATACAGAACATTCATACAATTTCTACATAATTTATGTCCAGAAAAGAAGAAAATTATAAGAACACAGGAAAAATTAAATAAAACATTTAACCACAGTCCCTTATCGGTCATTTTAAAGCAATAGAAATCAGAATGAGCTCAGCTTTATTATGTATCTCAATACACTGAATTATTTAATTATCCCATATTTTTAATACCAAAAAAATCATGAAAACACTTCCCAGATATTTAAACTTCTGCATCTACTTGATGTTTATATCTCAATTTGTAACTCAAATCTTGTTCTTTTTCTCTTACTGATAACCATACTTTATATCTTCTTGCAGTTGATAGTCCTTCTTTCTTATTTTCCTTAATTCCTCAGGAAAACCTTGCAAATCTTAACCTTCTCTCAGATGATTTGTTAGATGGGAGGCTGATGACCATAGAGCTGTCATTTTTTTGTCAGTTACTGTTTCCAGGATAAATTCAATGCAACACATAGCATCAGTGTATACATGTCATCTACTTTGAGGTGTAAACAAACAATATGGCCTAGAATACACATTCAGAAAAGGAAGAATATAGCTAAATCTAAATGTCTGTTGATATAAGGTGATGTGCAAATCAGACAGGCTTTCAAGGAATACAAGTTCAAGTCTCAGCAAAAGCTTATTTATTTTCTGATTTCATTAATATTTATTTTCTGCCATTTGCTTACTGGTCATTGTAAGTACAGCAAAATATCTACAACCTAATGATGAAAAATGCAGGTATTATACACAAAAAATATTAATTTTGAAATAATATCCTTCTTTGTTAATGCACTTAATTCACTGATGAATATTAATCACATAGAACATTATACACTGAAAATTTCAGATCAAAATTGGCTGATAACTAGATTACAGCAGTCCTTTTGCCAGAATATTTTGAGGTTGAGGAGGAGATCTTTAGGTCACATGGCTGCTAGTAACAATATGCATACTGAAATTAGATCACATAATTTTCATAGTAGGGTGGAGAGAAACAAATGATTTTCTGGGTGAGGGGCTATTGGGGACAGGCGTACATGTCAGTCTGTTGATCTCTTCACTACAATCTTAACCTGTACAAGTCTAGGGTTAACCATTATCTTCCTCTTCTATCAGCATAAACTGCCTCTTAATGTAACCCTTTACCTCTAATACCCTGCACCCTCAGTTTTGTACAGGGTGAACCTTACTGTAAAAAAAAATAACAACAAATCAATTCTATGAACAAGAAAAGAGATGCTTTTCATTTTTTTTCTGTTGACCAAATACATTTTTCTTTACCAACAAGCAAGTTGAAAGTGATTTTTATTTAAAAGAGAATTGCTGCATAGCAATAATATTGGTTGAAAAATTTTACTTTGATATTAGCTTTTTTTAGGAATACTCTATTCTGAATAAAAATAATAGCAGCAAGCAAAATTAGCCATTTAGTAAGCAAATAATTGTCTACAGCCATTCTCTGTGCAGTCTATTGCATGATAAATTCATAATAAAAAAATGTTATAAAATGTACTAAAAATATAGCTCACATTTTTGTATCTCATAATGAATGTAAGATATTTAATTTATCAATAACAATAGGCTGAAAATTCTGAAAGAAAATAGGGACCACTTTATTGTTGACAAAAGTATTGTTGCATTTATTGGAAGAGAATTCTTTAATCAAATCAATTTTCATTGTAGTGAGACAAATATACCTATATATTTATTAATGTCATTCACTCTAAAAAATAGAACAAAACAAAAGCTTGCAAATAATAAATAGTTATTAAAAAAAATAATAAAAAGCTTTACAAAGAAAATTAAAACAGTTTTTGAAATTAAATATTAGAAATTATGATAAAAAACTTGACACTCAAAGAAACATACCTGATCCTATATGTCATGAAGTCTAGTCATTTCATAGAAAGTGAAGCATCCAATTATTTTAATTACAATGCAACATTATTTTTTTTTTAAATTAATGGAAACCTTATATCTTTGAACCCACAAAAACCGGACTCTCAACAGGATGGTTTTTCCTTTGACAACACTATCATTTTAACTACTTTCACTCATTGGTAATGTTTATTATTTTAAAAAAAACAATGATTAGAATTGTAATAGAATCTAAATATATGAAAGTCAATTTATACATTTCTTTTGTTCTTGAGAATTTATTTAGTAATTTAAAATTTATTTATATATATATATATATATATATTTCAATTAAAGATCAAAGATTAAGTTTTCAAAAATAAGTAGTTTTGTTGAATTCATTAAAAGCATTGTTTGAGATATAAAAGAGATTGATATAGTATAAAAGATAAATTTAGTTAGATTTGCTTAATAGCTTGTGAAGGATTTACAGAAAAATAAGTTTTATTATTGACTCCTTGATTTTTTTATGGGTAAGATTAAAGAAGATTAAAACAAAAGATTAAAAATAAAATATTGGAAAAAAATGTTGAAGACAATAAATTAACAATAGTTTGTGGATAACAATTTCAATGTTTTTTAACCTCCCAAAATTTTACATTTTTTCGTTGATAATGGTTATGAGAATAAAGAATTTGTTTAAGCGAATGAAATGAAATGGAACCCTTTCAGAATTCACTCCAAGAATCTGTATTCTGAAAATATATATATATATATATATATATATATATATATATATATATATATATATATGTGTGAAAATATATAGAAAATAGGAAGGAACTGGTTAGGTAAATAATCCAAAGTTCCTTAGTATTTTAGTTATTATTTTTAAAAAATAGTGCTTGATACAAAAGTAGAGCATAAATATAATTATTTATTTAAAAATATGATTCCAACTCGTGACATAAGAGGTCTCATGTTTCAAAACAAGAGCCGAAAACTTCAATATAATTATTTGAATTAAATTGAGTTAAAGTAAGCTCTGTTCCATCTTCAAGCAAAATTTTTTTTTGGAATAACGTATTTCTGAAATTTACGTGTTTTAATAATTTAAATCAAAATTTCCATGGTAACAGCTAGGGCGAATTGTTTAAATTGGGTAGGCGTGTGTTGGGTGTTAATAATAAGTATCAGTATAGAGTTACTTTCATAGATGTCAAGTCAGGGAAAGGTGGGGGTGTCTAAATTTGAAACGGAAGATGTATTAACCCTAGTCTGGTATGCGTGTCTATGGAGATTTATTTATTTTTTTATTTTATTTTTTTATGAAAGGGATTTGTGCATATAAAAAAACTGCCGTAACGTTTGTTTTTTGACGACTTCATAAAGGGTTATCTTTTTTGTAGGGTATATAAGCTATTTATTTGGGCTATGGATTATGAAAGATATTATATTGTATGCTTGTTCTTAGCTAATTATTCAAACCATGAATCTGATGATGTTGACAAAAAACCGTTAACTCATGTCTATTGTTTAATAGATTGTTATTATTTAGAAGCTTAATAATGTGCAATTTCTCATGGAGGCACAAAGAGCATGGGTCATCCCAAGTTTTACATGTTCTAGCCCTGTTTATAATTTTCCATTTTACTTTAGGTGTCCTATTTGTTTCAATTATTAAAACATGTAAATTTCAGAAATACGTTATTCCAAAAAAAAATTTCGTTGAAGATAGAACAGAGCTTACTTTAACTCAATTTAATTCAAATAATTATATTGAAGTTTTTGGCTCTTGTTTTGAAACATGAGACCTCTTATGTCGCGAGTTGGAATCATATTTTTAAATAAATAATTATATATATATATATATATTTCAATTAAAGATCAAAAACTGATCAAATATGGATCAGAATCAGAATAGGAGGATAAGATAAGGAACAAATAGGAATTGTTTAGCAATCTAACATGATTCACTTTTATAAAAGCTTCATCAGAGATTGAGAAAAAACATACAAAAAAAACTTAGAACTCCTCCTACTAGACATACATACATACACAGTTATGAATATACATTACCATCTGATGCCCACTTAGACATATTAGAAGTTTTACAAATTTACATACATATAGAATTATTTAGTTTTAATGTATGTGATACATGACTGACCAATGAGAACTGATTCAAACAATATTGAAAATATGAATGTTTTCTGTCCTTTTGTGTGTTTTCTCTCAATCTCTGATGAAGCTTTAATAAAAGTAAAACATGTTAGATTGGTAAATGTTTCCTATTTGGTCTTTATCTCTCTCTCTCTCTATATATATATATATATATATATATATATATATGCTCTACATGTTTAATTTTCTGAACTGTGTATTGAGCACTTTTTTATACATCCTTTTTTGGGATGGTAATTTTATGGCATATATATATATATATATATATATATATATATATTCTGTTTATACATTATTTTTATAGATATAAATATTTAAGTAAATGCTCTGTTTATAATAAACGGTATTAAATAAATTTATCAGCCTGAATATCCGATAGGAATCAAACTTGTAACATACACGGAACCGTCATTTGTCCTGACTTGCTATACCATTTAGTTAATACTGTTTATTATATTAGGTCATCCCATAAGTTCTGTCCGAATTTTGAATAAAGAAAACAAGTGACCAAATGTTACCTTTAATTACAGATTCAATCAACAATGTATTTTCCCTGTTTATCTATGACTTCCTTCCATCTATTAACAAACTTACTAATTCCATTACTGTAAAATTCTTTTGGCTTTGATTCAAAGAACTCACAAATGTCAGTTTTAACCTCTTCCTGTGTTACAAAAGTTGTTTCTTCCAAATGATTCTGTAAGCTACGAAACAAATGGTAGTCTGAAGGAGCAAGATCGGGAGAATAAGGTGGATGAGGAATTTTCTCCCAACCAAGTTCTTCAATCTTTTGTGACGTGATTCTTGCTGTGTGGGGTCTCGCATTGTCCCAATGAAACATCACCTCTTTTTGATTCACTAGAGCAGGTCTTTTTTCCTCAAAGCTTGGTTCAAACGCTCTAATTGCTGACAGTATATTTGAGCATTAATTGTTGCATTAGGTGGTAAGAATTCAAAGTGGACTATTCCTTGGCGATCCCACCAGATTGAAAGAAGAACCTTTTGCCCATGAAGTTCCCTTCTTGGCTGTGGCTGGGGTCCTTCCCTTTTACCAAGCCACTGTCTACAATGCTTAACATTTCGATAAAAGATCCATTTTTCGTCGCCAGTCACGAGACTATCCAAAAAAAGTGAAACAAGTTGGCGAGAATGGAGAGAAGAGCAGATGTCAACTTGGGATTTGAGGTTGTTTTCAGACAATTCATGAGGCACCCATTTTCCAAGTTTAGGAACTTTTCCAAGTTGTTGAAAATGACAATGAACAATTGTATGGTTTGAACTGAGAACCACTGCCAATTCCTCAACTGATAAAGTAGGATTTTCTTCAAGGGCTGCTTCAAGAAGCTTTTCATCAAACTCAACTGGACGTCTGGTTCGACCTTCATCTTCAAGAGTGAAATCTCCACCTCTGAATTTTGCAAACTATCTTCTGCAAGTTCTTTCATTCACACATTCCTCTCCATAAACTGAGTGAATGTTTCTAGCCGCTTTGGCTGCTGAGTTTCCTTTCTTGAACTCAAAGCATTATGTGCCTCAAATGATTCTTGGGTACTTCCATGTTAGCAGGGTTTTAATCAAACCAAATTTAATTTTATTGTTCTCTGAAATAAAATTTGATCAGTTTAAATGCATCTAAGCATAAAAATAATGTTCAGCTCCATTAGACATTATAAAATACTCTTTAAATTTCGTTCATTTTAACAAAAAGTTAAAATTCAGATAGAACTTATGGGATGACCTGATAAATAGAGCATTTACTTAAATATTTATATCTATAAAAATAATGTATAACCAGAAAATATATCAAAATAATTGTTGGACTTAGTTCATTTCATTATATATATTTCAGAAAATTATTTTTAAAGATGGCCACTATCATTGATTATATACTTTTGTTCTTGAAGAATCTTTCATGTCTTTTATTTTATTATTATAAACTTAAGAGCTGAATATTAAATCTTTGTTCATGTTCATTTATGAATGGTAGTGCAATGCAGAAAAATTCAAATGAACCGTTCTGTTGAATAATGTTGGTTAATAAAATTACTCCAGATTTCATATAGTGTCTATACTAATTAATAGTAAAAATGACAAAAGGTAGTATTTACTGATCCTTAGTCAATTTATCAAAGATAAAATATACCATAAATATATAAAGCTAACCTTTTAGTTGCTGTGCAGCTTTTAATTCTGCATCACTCCAACCATCTTCACTGTCAGTTTTTGCAGATTTCAACTCTCTTTGGACATCTGGAATTATAAACTGGGTTTGTTCATTCGTATCTTCAGTGTCTATTTCCTACAAAAAAAGTGCAATAAGCTGTAAAAAACAAATCAATCAAAAAATCTACAAAAAAAACAAAAAAACAAAAACAAAGTACATAAATTATATCGCAAATTTAAAAGAAAAAAATAAAAATTAGAAACTAAATTAAATTTGCATTGGTATAAAAATGGGGATGAGAAAATTTTTAAACAATATTGATTTAAATTTATGACAGTAGCTTGTGATATATAAAAGTGGTCAACAGATTGTAGTAATAAATGTTAACTAAAAAATGTTGAAAAATTTGAACAAATTCATATTCCTCATCAGTTTTTTGAACATGAGTAGAGGTTTATCCTTGTTTTCTGTTTAGGATTGAGTTTTTGGTTCTTTCTACTAAAGTCTTATCATTCTCTTTCACTTTTTGTAGCCCTTTGCATCTTAGTGGCATTATTGGCTTGCTTGGGGTGAGTCAACAGCATCTTGGAATAATTTGAGGATATTTTTTAAATAAAATATATATTTTTGATACTAAATTATTCTCTTGAGTAAAGTAAAAAAAAGTGTTTTTAAAAACTGTACTTTGACTTACAAAAAAAAAATATTTTTGTTGGGTATATTAACATATACAAAAAGTCAGGATTAGGTCAATTCAATATAACCAGTAAAGAAAAAGCAGATACAGCAATTCTCAAAAGCAAAGATTTACAACTGATAGTGTGTGTGTGTGTATATATATATATATATATTTGTAGACAGAATTATTGGGTACACACTAAATATTTGGATATTTTCTAAAGAAATGCAAATATTTTTAAGTATTTATTGAATTTAGCATAAATAGTTGATTTTGTGTTTAGTTTTGAATAATTTGTGAAATTTTTAGAAATTTCAATCTATTATATTCATATTTATTATTAATTAACTGATTTAAAATATGATTTCTTCGCTACACAGGAATTACCATGTTTCAAAAACTGAAGCTAAAAACTTCAAATTTAATTATATAATTAAATTAAAAGCATTAGTTCTGTTTCATCTTCAAGCGAATTTTGGAATAACTTATTTTTAAATTTACTGAGTTTTAAATGCACATACAATTCATAGTTTTTTTGTTTTCAAGGATACAGAGAAATTCAATCATTTACACAGGAGTGGTAGTGTGTTCATTTTTATTAACTTTTATTGTATCAATTATGAGTTACGTTCGAAAAAGCAGTTAAGTCTATTCATATTTATAGATTTTTCTAAAAATTGGTGCAGTTCAAAACTATTCACACCCCACACACCATGGTGATTTAAATAATATTGCTCTATGGCAATTGTAATGTTTTTTTTTTCCTTAATTTGACATTTAATACAAACACCTTTAGAAAATGAAATAGTATTGACCTAATTCTATAATATTGTAAAAGGTAATGAAGAAAACAATACGGTGATAACTAATTCATTCTGTGAACATGGCAGAACTTGACAAGAAGCTCCGAATGAAGATAGTTCGTGCATACAAACAAGGTAGTGGATGTACAGCATTTTCTAAGGGTTTAAATGTTCCTATATCAACAATTCGGAGCTTTATCAAGAAGTACAAGGAGACTCATTGTGTTAAGAATAAATTAGGGACTGGCACAAAATGGTTAATTTCTGTGAGAATGGAAAGGAAAATTGTTAGAGATGCCTTGAAGAATCCTCACTTAATGACAAAGGACATGGTCAATGATATAAACCTGTAAAGACATCAGGCATGAATGTATCGATGAAGACAGTCACTAGATGCTTTCATTGAGCAGGTCTTCAAGCTTGTCGCTCGAGGAAAACATCCTTGCTTAAGGCTGAACACCTAAAATGCAGAGTAGCTTGTACTAGAAGCCATCTAGTACATGGGAGTAAATATTGGAACTCTGTTTTATGGTCAGATGAAACTAAACTATAATTATTTGGTCACATGAACTCCTGTTATGTATGGGGGAAAGTGAATGAAGCTCACAAACCAAAAAATGCCCTCCCTACAATTAAGCACGGTGGTGGGAGTATTCTGCTCTGGGGATGTTTTACTGCTTCTGGACCAGAAGAAATAGTGAGAGTATAGGGTATCATAGGGTATCATAGATAAAGAGCAGTATTTGGCTATTCTTAAAAATAATATAAAACAATTTGACTGAAGGCTGTCTTTGGGGCATCACAGGCCATTCCAACAAATAATAACCCGAAAAACATGGCACAAATTGTTGCAAAATACTTAGCTGACAACAAAATTAAGATATTGACATACCCTGCACAAAGTTTATCGAAAATTTATCGGCATATTTGAAGAAAAAATAAGAGAAAGAAGTCATCTCGAATTTGGAGGAATGGGAAGCTATTGCCAAGGAAGAATGGAGTAAAAGACTTATCAGTGTGTGTAGTGATCTTGTAAGGAACTATTAAAAATGTTTAAAGGCAATAATCAAGAATAAAGGTTACATAATTGATTATTGAGACAAGAGGACTAATAATTTTGACCTATGTTAAATTTTTTTTGTTTTTGTTTTGTTTTATTGTTTGACATAAAATAAAAATGATGTCATCGGCATCACTGCACATTCATTCAATTCCATTATTTCATCATTTGTGAAAAAATGAACATGAATCTTCCATGAAAATTTGAGGTATTACAGCTTTATTTGTAATTATGGAAGTGTGGGTGAATAATTCTGTCCAATGCCTCAAGGACACATGGATAATCAAATCAAACTGTAATATTTAATACAGCTTAGTAATGTAAGGTGAAATATTTAAACAATTTCAGTGGATAAAGGCGTTGGTTAGATCCAGTGACTATCCCAAAGAGTCATGAGTTCAATACCAGGGTACAGCAGTGGTGAATCAAAAACTTGGAGAGTTGAGTTAAAGGGAAATAACTGAGACATCCAGAAGAGTCATAGCACGTGGAACTAGAACAATCTATCCCGGTGTATGAAATGAAGGGTTTGGTTTGAAATTCCAATCAACTGAAGAAAGTTAGAGCATACAATGGATGAAATGTTGTAAAGATGGCAATAAAGATGAGGGTAACAGTCCAAATAATGTAAGTAATCATAACACATCATCTCAGAGATATAGACAAAACTTTACTTCTGTTTAAAAGACCAGAAAGGAGTGAGAATTCAACAATAAGCAAACCTATCTTCTCTTATTAAGGAAAAATAAATACATAGTAAATAAAATTTCAGAGTTTAAGCAGAGATGTTAGAAGTATACTTGCTTTGAATATTGCTTTCACATCTGGTCTGGTACTCCTGCTATATATTTAGCAATTCTTGGTAAAAAATCCAGAGAAGAATCTGCAGTGTTATAGGTCCTGAACTGGCATCTTGCCTTCAGTCCCTTTCCTATTGCTATTCCATAGCTTTCTTGTGGTTTTTCTCTAAATGCTTTCATTGTAATTGATCTGATAAACTTTCCTCTTTGGTACCTAGACTTTATGAATTTAAGGAATGTACTAGTTTGGCAACAAGGTCTCATCATTTTACAGTTGAAATGGTTTGATGTAACCATAAGTTTTATGCTACCAGTTTCTTTGATTGCACTTCTCACTTCTGGATCTCTCTTCCAGCTTCTTGCCTCCCGGTCAACTTTGATCTTCAAAAATTTAAATGCTTGTCAATCATTATCTACTGTTTTCTTAATTTTGGTTCTTTTATTGTCCTCTCTTCTTAATAGTAGTTTTTCTTATATTCTCTAACACTCAGCAACCCATTGCATCCTAGTGGCTTTATTGTTTTGCTTGGGGTGAAATGATTTTGAAAAAAGTATAGAGTTGAAGGACGATAAAAGAACCTATCTATTCCTATTAAGGAAGAAGAAAAGAAAAAAAGTTAAGGTAGTTGCTAACTCTTTGTTTTTATAATAAAGGATTGATGCTCAGTCTTATTTGGTCCATTAGATATTAATGTTCCAGAATATCCTATTCATAGGCACTCCTTATATTCTTAAACACAATGCATATTAAATATGTTTGAAAGCTTGTGTGCAATAATAAACCATAGATTTCAGAAAGAGAAAACACTGTTTCATTCTATGATGACCATTCTTTTTCAATCATTTCAGTTCAAGTAAGGCAATAAAGCCGCTAGGTTGTAAGAGGTTACTGAGAATAACAGAAACAAGAACACAATTCAAGCAGACAGAAGATGGCAACTGATGTTCCATTTAAAATCATAGTTAACAGGAAAGCAGGAAGCCAGAAGAGAGTTTCCAAAATAGGAAGTGTGAGAGAAGAAACAATCAGCATAGAACTTATGTTTACACTTACCAGTTTAAACAGTGAAATTATGAGACCTAACTTCCAATGCAGTACTGTGTGCTTAAATTCATGTACCAATAAGTTAAGTGATATTTATTTTGTTTTGCACAAAAATGTGGCACAAGGCCAAGAAAGAAGTGTTCTAGGAGAATTGCATACTGGACATTTGTGTGCCAAACAATTGTGTCCCTGGACATTTGCATCCCTGGATAATTGCGTACGTCTGATAATTTTTTGAAGCTTTTAAAGGCAATTACCATAAATTTTGAAAAAAGCATAGGCAGTAATCACAATTTTTTAAAAAAGGAATAAAATAAAAAAAAAATTAAAAGTTTACTTTTATTTAAAATGCAATGACAGATTAACAGTGTTGCAAGAACACTCTCCACATTGCCAGTATGCTTTTATTTCATCTGCATTTTTCTTATGATAGTGGTAGCTTTAATTTTCCTCATCCACAAATATTTTTCCACTAGTGTTTGATTTTTTGGAATTTAGCCATGGGTTCCAAATAAAATGTAATCTATAAAATCCAGAATCTATTAGATGTTTGTGGTATGCACTGCTAGAGTAAACTGAAAATGCTTGCTTAATTTTCTTCTGCTTTTAAAAAATAAATTTTTCTCTCTTTTTATTTATGGTAACTACCTTCCTGCTTGTTTAGAGTAATTAAAGGTATTGATGTGCAAATTTCTGTATTAAACAACTCTTTAAAAAAAAAAAAAAAAAAAAAAAAAATGGTAACTTC